AAAAAAAAAAAAAAAAAAAAGCCAAGGGATAGAGAATATATGAAATAAGAAGACAAAACTCCTCTACCCCTCTTTTTCTTCCTTGTATTCTCATTCTACTTTCTGCTGGTAATCGCATGTATAAACATACAGCTTTAAAATGTATGTAAATGCATTGAAACCATATCTATGGTTCATTCATCACTCTTTTCTTTTCTTTCTTTCTTTTTTTTGAGACAGAGTCTATGTCACCCTTGGTTGAGTGCTGTGGCATCACAGCTCATAGCAACCTCAAACTCTTGGGCTTAGGCGATTCTCTTGCCTCAGCCCCCCAAGTAGCTGAGATTACAGGTGCCTGCCACAACACCTGGCTATTTTTTGGTTGTAGTTGTCATTGTTGTTTGGCAGGCCCTGGGCCAGGTTTGAACCTGCCAGACCTGGTATATGTGGCCGGTGCTCTAGCCGCTGAGCTACAGGCACCGAGTCAATTCATCATTCTTGTCAATAGCGTCTACCATTTTTTTAGAGATTTGTCCATGTCAATTCATAGGGAGCGAAGGGAGTCACCTAATTCTCTGTAACCATTGCATGGTATTTCAAAACATCGATTTGTATAATTTATTTGTGCATTTTTTCTTTCGATGGACAGTTATGTAATTTCTGTATTTCCCTGCTACACACAATGCTGCGATCAACACCCTCATACCTATTTATGTACTTTTAGGACTCCCTATTTAAACATTTAAAGAATATTTCCTACTCTGCTTTCAGAGGCCTTCAGAACTTGGGCCCCGTTTTTTCCTCTCATGCAGTGGCCAGCCAGCTAGGCTGTGCTCTTACAGTGGGCCCCTGAAAGGGTGGCATTCAACCAGCAGAGATCTCACAGACCACCAAGGCTTGTTTGAAAGGTCTTTATTGGTGGGGGAGGGAGGCTGTAGAGCAGCACCAAGGAGGAGAGAAAAAGAGAAGAGAAAAGAGGAGAGAAAAGAGGGGAGAGAGATGAGGAGAGAGTGGAGAAGAGAGGGAGGCGGAGCAGAGAAGAGAGAGGGGGAAAAGGGGGGAGGAAGAGAGAGAGAGAGAGAGAGAGAGAGAGAGAGAGGAGAAATATACCCTTATATAGGGAAGTCTCAGAATGGTGATGGGATAGTGGGATAACCAAGAAGGCGGAAAGAGTCATTAGGGGTGGGCAGCGGGTAATTTGAACAGGGTGATGAGGTAAGTGGGCCATTCCCTGTGCTTGGGAAGGAGTTGTAACTTTAAGAGCTGGAAGGGGCTTTTTTGGGAAGGGGCTTTCTGAGGCAATCCTCCACCAGCCCCTCCTGGAATTCTCCCCCTTCTGCTCTGTTTTGCCTTTCTAAGTCCTTCAAAGCAGGCTGCAGTTCCGCCTCTTAAGCCATCTTCTCAGATGCTCCAGCCTCTTCTCTGGCCTGGAGGCCCACTTAGTCAAGCTTTAGCCAACCACATGTTCCATTGCTTGTCTTAATTTGGAGCTTTTTAGATTTTCCCACCAAAGTATCTTCAATGCCAGGGAAAAGTAAATGTATAACGCCAAGTATCTGGGGAGCACAATTGCAAATCATTATAGGGAAGTTTTTGTTTTATATTAAAAACCATTTAATTTTAATTTTATTTATTGATTTATTTTTTGAGACAGAGTTTTACTTTGTCGCGTCATGGCTCACAGCGATCTCAAACTCTTGGGCTCAAGCCGTTCTCTTGCCTCAGCCTCGCAAGTAGCTTGAACCATACGCACCTGCCACAACCCCCAGCTATTTTTTAGAGATGGGGTCTCACTCTTGCTCGGACTGGTCTTGAATTCCTGAGCTCAAGCAATCCACTGGCCTTGGCCTTCCAGAGTGTAAGGATTACAGGTGTGAGCCACTGCGCCTGGCTAAAAAAACATTGTAAATCCTGTTTCATCCAGTAAAAATTGGTGCTCTAGGAGATGTCTCACTTTTACCCTATAGTTTTGTGGGCCCCCTGGCACACTTCTGCATAGCCCAGGTATACAATTGCAATCTGAATTTTATTTTGCTAACTAGTCATAAAATTCTCCAGAAAAAGGACTCAGGTGTAAGTGCGTTTGGGTAAATCTACTTTGTTTTCCTTTTTTGTTTTTCTTTTCTTTTTCTTTTTTTCTTTTGAGGCAAAGTCTCACTATGTCACCCTCAGTAGAGTGCTGTGATGTCATAGTTTACAGCAACCTCCAGCTCTTGGGTTTAGGCGATTCTCTTGCCTCAGCCTCCCGAGTAGCTGGGACTATAGGCACCCTCCAATGCCTGGCTATTTTTTTGTTGCAGTTTGGCTGGGGCAGTGTTCAAACTCGCCACCCTTGGCATAAGGGGCTGGTGCCCTACTCACTGAGCCACAGGTGCTGCCCATGCAGTTGTTATTGTTGATTTTAGCTGACCTGGGCCGGGTTCGAACCCTCTAGCCTCGGTGTATGTGGCCAGCATTCTACCCACTGAACTACGGGTGCCTCTTTTTTTTTTTTTTTTTAAGACAGAGTTTCATTCTGTCACCCTGGGTAGAATGCTGTGGCTTCATCATAGCTCACAGCAACCTCAAACTCTTGGGTTCGAGGGACTCTCCTGCCTCAGTCTCCCTGGTAGCTAGGACTATTGGTGCCTGTCACAACATGGAGCTAGTTTTTCTACTTTTAGTAGAGACAGAGGTCTCACTTTTGCTTAGACTGGTCTTGAACTGCTCAGCTTAGGTAATTAATCTGCCTCCACATCCCAGAGTGCTAGGATTATGTTCTCAGTGTTGCATTTTCTGTCTCTTTGAATTGTCTCTTCCTGGAAGGGGAAGGGCCATTGATGAAGGGAATCTTGATATTATAAATGATGAGTACAGGGCACCTTACCACTTTTAGAGTCTAATGTTTGTGGAGATGTATATTAGTTTCCTAAAGTTGCTGTAACAAATCACTACATACAGTGGCATAAAACAAAATGAATACAGATTATTCTCTTAATAGTTCCAGAGGTCAGAAATCTACAATCAGTGTCTCTGGGCTAAAGTCAAGGTGTCAGCAGCTCTTTCCACAGGCTTCAGGAAGGACGCTGTTTCCTTGCCCTTTCCAAGTTCCAGAGACTGCCCACATCCTTTGGCTCATGGCCCTCTTCCCCCGTCTTCAAAGTGAGCAGCATAACATCTTCAGATGTCTGTCTCTCTGTCCTTCTGCTCCAGTTGTCACACTGCCTTCTGTCTATTTCCTTTTATGTTACTCTCAAAAGGACTTCCGTGATATCAGTCCCACCAGGTGACATTCACAGGTTCCAGGGATTAGGCTGTGGACATATTTGGGAGCTAATTTTCAGTTTATCACAGGATAATCCAAGATAACTTTCATACCTCAAGATCTTTATTTATTTACTTATTTATTTTTTGAGATAGGGCCTTACTCTGTCACCCCAGCCGGAGTGCAGTGGTATTGTCATAGCTCAATGAAACCTCAGTCTTTTGGGGTCCAATGATCTTCCTGCTTTAGCTTCCCAAGTAGCTGGGACTATAGTCTGGTCCCACCACATCAAGCTACTTTTCCTATTTTTAGGAGAGACAGGGTCTTGCTCTTCAAACTGGTCTGAAACTGCTGATCTCAAGTAACCCTCCCATCTCAGCCTGCCAGAGTTCTGGGATTACAGGTAAGCCACTTCTTAGCCAAGAAGTTTAACTTGATTGAATCTGCAAAGTTGCTTTCGCCATATAAGGTGACATTCACAGGTTCCAGGGATTAGGCTGTGGACATATTTGGGAGCTATTTTTCAGCATACCACAAACTGTAAGGTCCATGAGAAGTGACATGTCTGCTTGGTCACCGCTTACCACCAATGGCTTGCACAGGGTCCATTTATCCTTTTTTTTTTTTTTTTCCAGTTTTGGCCGAGGTTGGGTTCGAATGCACCACCTATGATATAGGGGGGCCAGCACACTACTCCTTGAGCCACAGGCACCATCCCAGGGGGCCATTTATCATGTTTATTAGTCAGACTCATGAAAACTGCACTATTTTTCCAGAAAGTTATTACATTCTGCTTAACATTTACAGGGTTCTCAGATTCTATGAAGCCAACACACAGACTGTCAAGCTCCCCTAACCTAAAATTCTAGAATGTCTCGCTGCAAGCAACTTGGTTTTACATTCGCGTCCCTTGGGCGCGTCGGGCAGCAGGTGGCGCTCCCGTCCGTCTCTCCGCCCAGCTTGCTCCATTGAGAGCACCTGCTCCTGGCACAGCGGCGGAGCGGTCTCGGCCACTGCGGTGTCTAAAGAACTATTTCCCAGTCTCTGCACGTACAGAGGAAGGATGCTGGCTCCTAGAGGCGAGGCGCGGCCCCAGGAGGTTCGCCCTCCCTGCTGCACACTGCTGGAGATGCCAGGGCGCGGTGGGCTGAGCCTGCAGGACAGATCCATGCACCACAGCTCGCAGGCGGGTCGGAGCTCCAGGCAACTACAGAAAACACCACACCAAAACCCAAAGGCAAATATTTATGAGTCTGCAAAGGAGAGACTGAAACCTCTCTGTGAGATTTAAAAGCCATGAAAACAATTGCTGTTTGGTTTCTGGAAACCGGCTTCTTAAAAACACTGACTTTTGCCGTCAGGCCAGGCCCCTTTCTAGCTGGAGGCAGGATGTGGATGTGAACCACCGAGGAAGTAACAGGTTAGATTTGAGGCTTAACTTTCTCTGCAGCCATTCTGGGCTCTATGAAACTAAAGCAGAGGGCAGGCATAAGTTGCATCTGAAAGCAGCCCTGTCAGACCCTGGCAGTGAGAGGAAGCTGCGGTCCTAATCAGCGATTAGGAAAGTGGGTCCCAGAAGATAGTAGGCGCCATCCAGAGAGGACTGAACCTTTGCATGGCAGACAGATGTCCCTCAAATTACGATGGGGCCACTTGTCCATAAACCCACTGTTAAGTGGAAGATTACAAATTGATCCATCATAAACCAGGGACAGTCTACACAATTCTCAAAATCTGGTCCATGTACCAACTGCATCATTTCCCAAAAATGCTGAGTCTTATTGTCACTGTTAACCTGAATGGCCATTTTGTGCAGGGCGCTGCAGGTCAGGCCTTGGCAAGGCCAGATGAGTCTATGTGGTGACATCTGGAGATTGTTTATTCACTTCCAAGGCTACTGTCATAGATAAGTCCGGGAACTGGACTCCAAGGACCCAGGGCACTCTGTGCACCCACTAGAGTGTTGACTACCTATAAATTTAGTCTAGAATAACAATAATTTGAAGATATAACCTCTTTAAGATAGGAAGATACTGTATAACTTGTAACCTACGAGGGAGAAATCACATGACTTGTCCTATGAGGAGTAATAACATTGCTGATATTTACTTTTACTGTGAGAGTAAAAAGTAACAAAGGGAAAGAGGAGGGCAGAGCAGTTCTTGGAGGAGATATCTCCCTGTTCTCTGGAATTTCAGGCTTTTCTGTAAATAAAAATGAAACTTTTGACCTCTTATCCACTTCCCTGATGATTGGCTTGGATGACAGGTGAACAGACTCCTTGGTCTGGCTGACATTACCCCTAGTTGGAGGGGTTGAAGGTGGTGACTACAAATCTGTGTGTGTGTATTTTTCAGACAGAGTCTCATCATGTCACCCTTTGGTAGAGTGCTGTGGCATCAAAGCTCACAGCAACCTCAAACTCTTGGGCTTAGGTGATTCTCTTGCTTCAGCCTCCCAAGTAGCTGGGACTACAGGCTCCTGCTACAATGCCTAGCTATTTTTTTTTTTTTTTTTTTGGTTGTTGGTGTCATTTGTTGTTTAACAGGCCTGGGCTGGGTTTGAACCAACCAGCCCCAGTGCATGTGGCTAGCCTCCTAACCACTGAGCTATGGGCGTCAAGCTGAATATGTGTTTTTAATAAGCTCCTGCAGTGATTCTTCTGCTCTCTGAGTTTGAGAATTACAGCCTCTCCTACCAAAAGCTGGCAGTTTCAGATAAAAGAGTCAGCCTTGGGGCACACCTCCTTCCAAAGTAGACTCTGTAGTCCCACTAGTCATATTGCAGGAAGACAAGGCCCAACGGAGAGAAAGAGCACCCAAACACCATAGTTATAAGAGGAAGGGCTTTATTCATCGGCTGTGAGCTTACGGCATAGATTTCCAAATGGCCGCGCTCCCCAACTGGCTTGGTCTTTCCCTTTTTATTGATAGTCAACAAGTTCCACCCCACAGGTACCCTTCCCATTGGCCAGTTTGAATCAAGCAGTGGGGGGGATGCTAG